CTAATGTTTTGTGACCAAGACGGTAAGTCGCTTTCTGAAAACAAGTCGGTGACGCCGAAAGTTTTGCATTGCTGGCAGAAGCAATTTATTATCTGACGGCAGAGAAACTTAAGTTTGAGAAAAGTTATTTTTCTGTACATGGTATCAAGACACAGCTCTCAGTTTATTGCCATGCATAGCACGACAGCACATTGCTCTACAGCCTATAAACATTCCCCCTACATAGCCCTGCATTGTTATACGTTGTCACTAATATTGACAGTCGAATAGGTTATCACAATTGCAACCCTTGACTGCCATATGTAACCACGCTAGATTGCTGTTAGACAGTGCTACCTAACGTTAAAACTCTAGATCTATATTCCAGAGACCCAGTTCAAAGTAAATCACAGGGTCAGTACGTACTGAAAGGAGGGAAGATCTTTTACAGTCATCATTAGATCTTCCCCACACCTATCTGTTACCAGAACCATAGAGTTTATGAAGAATTGATGGATATATCGCCAATTCTGTTAAACCTCTGTGGTCCTCTGAACCGATATCTAGGCTTTCTCGCCTGAAATTCGTAAAATTGTGGTTATGGAAAGATAACCGCACTGCTTTGAAAGGATTAGAGGTGTTATTTTATGTTTTGTTTGAGTCGTCTTCTTGATGTATATAAACCAATCAACACACTGCATCATGATCTACCGGTAATATCATGCGTGACAAACTGCTCCTTAATTTTGGCGCGAAATTTCGGCGTTAATTTGTAACTGCACTCGTGAAATTACAAAACGGCCATGGCAACGTTTGGAGCGAAATTTCTCAATGCAAATGAACAAGTTAGAAACCCACGATTGTGTGCCTAATTTGACACCTATGATATTAAAAGGTAATCAAATGGTATTCTCGGCAAATTAGGAAATAATTTCACTTGCGCTTTGTCAAAACCTAATAAATTTTCTCGCCTAATGGCTCGGGAAATGATAAGAAATTTGACAAAACGCGCGTGAAATTATTTCCTTATTTCACGCGTCATCATTTGATAACCATACTAATCTACTGGTAATAAAAATCTGAGCGTGACATGTACCACTGTGCCAAATAACCAAGGAATACAGTGGAACCCAGTTAACACGGACGCCGTGCCAATTACAATTACATATAAAAGATTTTTAAAAGAGATTGCATTCTAAAGGGGTTATTCACCTGATTTAAGCCCCTTTTGTATTTTTTGTTTCTTTCTTTTTTTTTTTTTTTACCTTAGCCGACTGTGGTAGTGGATCAGAAGCGGAAGGCCCTTTTTCCAAAAAATGTCGATCTTCCTGCAGAAGTGGAGAGTAACACGCTGTGCCAAACGACAAGTGCTTTTCGTCAGGCGAGAAGTGGTGCTTCTGTCACGCCAGATCCACCGAGGACGTGTGGTAAGTTTGGAAACAGCAACCGGGGAGACAGAATTGCAGCTTTCGATAGCCTCTCTTATTTGATTAGCGTAATCCACTAAAAGTAAGTTAAAAACAATTTTGGTAGCGTTTTTATCAAGAATGGAAAAGGCGACCATAATGAATGATTATCAAGAGTTTTTTCTTTCCTGAGGCCATGGCCGTTGTAGTGATCTTACCCAAACAGCCACCTGATTTACAACTAAAGGAACCACAAATTTTAGAGCGGTCTTTACACGAGTGACCTGAGTAATTGGCGTGTGCTTTGGTTTTGTCTTTTTACGTTAAGCGAGTCCCGCGCCATTTTGCCATTCCATTTGAAGTGAAACCAAAACCTATCGTAACTCGCAAATCTATCCGCGCTTCCCAATTCTTCGCTGCTTCAGGTTTGATTAGCTTCTGATCTCAGAATGTCTGTGTCCTTTGGGATTGCTCAGAGTTATTATCATTGTTTTGGTTTTCCGACACTCGATTGAAAACCGCTCTAGTTCTTCTCCAAGCCATTTAAAGGCCCCATCCACACTACGCCGGAGAAATTTGAAAACGCAGCTTTCTTTCCACGTTTAGGCCTACCGTCCACACTAATCCGTCACGAAAACGGAGGTTTTCGAAAACGCTCTTCAAGCCGGAGGAATTTGAAAACGCCAGTTTCAAATGGACACGGTTACATCCTTTCGAAACCGTACCAAAAAGTAGACGGTTTCGAAACGTTTACAAGAAAACGATCGGTTTATCCGTTTTCTCTGCTGTTCACTTCATGGCCGCGACATGATTTGTTACCAGAGATCGTGAGAAGATTTTTCCTTAGAGCGTCGCCATTTTGTTTTGGAATTGGCGAAGAGTAAAGATGTCAGTAAGTTCGTTTGGACTGACGACGAGGGAGAGCTTCTTTTGAGAATAACGAACGAATACAAAGTCGCTAAAAGTGCAGAAAATGTTGACTGGGACTGGGAGTCATTACATCAAATACCCAACGGAAGGCGTTGTCAAAAAGACACGGTTACCCCCGTCTACACGGCATCGTTTTGAAAACGCTCCACTTCAATAGCGTTTTCAAAAAGATGCGGTTTCGTTAATCTTTCCGCCGTCGCCGTGTAACCGGAAGGCGTAACTGCATCGATAAAGACGCGGTTACAAATGAAAGCGCGTCCGTGTAAACGGGGCCTTAGTGTGGACAGAAAACATTTCCTAAACAGAGCTTTTAGAAAACCATGACGTTACGATAATCACGTGATTTCCCTGTCCCAGTTTTCCTCAAACACAAATCCAATATGACCGGTGATTGTCGCGTTTTCAAATTTCTCCGGTGTAGACGGGAAACATTTGATGCGTTTTCAGAGTGAAACTTCCGTTTTCAGATTGCTACGGCGTATCGTAGACGGGGTCGAAATCATGTAGAAGATTTTCACTGTACCAACAGACGAAACGCTGAGCCTAGAGGCTAAAACTTAACTGCTTTCTTACCATGTGGATGTTACAATTAGGCATGTATTTATCTATAATTAAGAGAGATCATAGCCTACTTCTTAGGAGCAGCATTATGTCGAACTTAATTTTTTCCCCTTGAGTAGTTATGTTTTTTGTTTTCGGTCATTTACCGTCGGCCATTTTGAATCCCCGCTGACTCGAACTGTTTTTTCGTTTCTCATGAGAAACGAGACAGTGTCTGAGTTGTGTTTGGCTATGATTGCATGATTAAAGTACTAATAATATGTCAAGATTAAACGAAATATCGTTATAAACAAAAGTGACACCGCACTCAAACTGAATACTAATAAAATTTGTGGTTCTCTTCTCTTTGTTTCTACAGCACCCTAGATCTGTAGTCCCCTTCTTCGAGAATGAACGAGCAGTGTGGCGATTAACTGTATTACAATACAGTTGCCATTACAACCAGTTTTACATCATGGCTTTGTGTGTATCGGGAGACAATTTTGTCAATTGAAGTGTGTCAAATATTTGTCGAGTCAATATGTAGACAACTGAGGCTCTCATAATGCTCCTCAGGTAGCGCTGGAAGGGAATCAAAGGGACTTAGACGAGTTTTGTTCCAACGCCCCAACCCCTCCCCGCCCCCCGCCCCCCCACACGTGCACCCAATTCCCCCATCGGCCACTTCACTCTCAGCCAGTTCACAGGCTAGTGGTCTTGAGCAGTTGGCAAAAAAAAAGAAAAAAAAAAAAAAAAAAAAAAAAAAAAGCAATAGACTCATTTCAAAACAATTCCTTGCGTTTATTACCTGTTGATTACATTGTGGTTGGCTCATGAAAACGGACTAATTAAACTCCAGTGCCAAAGCAGTCGCGATCGGTTTAGTAACGGAGTTATTCCTTAGCGGGAAACGATGTGTGAACTTAGGTTGGTTACGGATTGAGCAGAGTCCTAGTCAATTCTGTGGTTCGTCGATCACCGAGAAGCCAACACCACACATAGTGGCCATAACAATGTCCATGACTATGATTTGGATTTTGGATGGGAAGCTCTCAGCAAGGATTGATTCAAACTTGTTTTCTCTTTGCGGTCCCCATCTGTGGGTCCATCACAGCTTTAAAAAAAAAAGCCAGCAAGTTTCGCGGAAGCGTCGCAGACCTAATCGTTAAACGATTGTGGTTAAAAGAAGTAAAACAATCAGAAACTTGTCGAGGTCATTTTGGCGAATCCGCAACTTTCTCGGAGTGCCTGGAACTGAGGTGTGGGCTGAACGTATAGAACTGGAGATATAAGAAAGTAATGAGCAAATTTTACATTCGAATTTTACGCTTGGAAATTCTGGCCTACTTTTCAAGGCGCTCCGTTTCATTTAGAAATTCTCCTTTCCATTACGCCAAAATAGTCGTGTTTTGACCGAAATTTCCATGGAATCTTTCAGCGGTTGTTTACCATTATTTACCCAAACAAATCCGGAAATTTCGGTCACAATTTCCATATAAATGGTAATACGTGGCTCGATCGACCGGAAAGTTCCGAATAAACGGAATGTCTTGAAAGGTAGTCCAAATTTTCCAAACAAAAATATCCAAAATTGAAAATGTGGTTACCATTTGTAATTCTTCAACACCATCTTGGTATTACAATCAGGTCAAAAATAGCGAAGCGCGCGAGTGACGTCATAACTCAGACAAACTCAGACAAACAAAACAGAATAGTGGAAGATTTGGCGCTTTTTCAAGCGCGTAAGCAAGTGTTCCTAGAAACAATTTTTAAAACGAAAATCTGGTGTTCATTTTCCTCCTATTTCTCTCGGAACACGCTAATGTTGTCTGACTCTCGCGGGGTTCCAATAATTTGCATTCTATTTTTAGACTTCGCGCGCTTCGTTATTGGAGGTTGCAGAGTAAATGGTAAACGGACAATCCGAACGGAACTTATCGTCAGACCTTCTTGCTTACCATTTGCACAAATCGTTCACTAACCGGTTTCTTCGTGTAAATAGTAAACAACCATTGTCTGTAATGTGTGACAATCATATCTTTTCACCCGAAACAAAAGTCAACGTAGAAGTGAAATCGTAAAAACACTGGCTTATAAAGATCAGCGATCAAACCAGCCACAAAGTTTGGATTCGTCAACAAATCCTCGAGTTTCAACATCACTTGGTCAAGATTTTTATTTGATATACTCTACAATATCTATTTCGAAGTGGTTTTTTTTAACAAGTATTTCGTACAAGTATTTTCGAAAGATTTTTTGAGAAATTTGACCTTTAAACTTTTTAGACGTTTTACACTTAATTTCATTCAGTGATACAACCATAACTTAGTTAGCTTAATTCGTCGCAGCTTTGTAAGCCGGATTACAGCAATCTTGATTTCTATGTCCCTAACAAGTTGTTACTGTTTGTGTCCTGGATTTTAGTCCCTTATTTACTTCACTTTTAAAAGAAACTTGCAGACATCTTAATGAGTACTGAAATATAACTTATATAAAATAAAAAATAAACTTAAAAATAAATATAACTTTATCCTTGTCGTAAACAAAATCACGAGGGGAACCAGGATCGCGCGTGCTTTAAAAGCGAACTACTTACTTCAAGTTTGGTTTTAAAAGATTGCCTCTTTAAAGAAACACTAACCAACTCGAAAACTAAGAGATTGTCTAACGAAGGCAATCCCACAGGACTTGCGTCAGTTTTTCAAGACTTTTGTCTAGCGTCTCATTGTTCAGTAGCATTCCACCATGTCAAACTGTAAAATCAAAATGAGCTGTGAAAAACGGTTTGAAGCCAGTCACGACTATAAACAAAACACTGATTTAATCGACTTTCACCTAACAAGATACTTTGAACGTGACGAGCCAGACGAAGGTCCGCGTAGGTTACTTAGTAACCCGGCCTTGGTTTCACTGAAACTTTCGACACGTAGGGTCCTGCCCTTAAATGTAAGATGAGAAATTCTGGATAAGTTAGACCAATAAAATCTCCGTCTATGTTGAACTGTGCCTGGATAAAATTATGAATAAAACAAGTTGCTCTGGAAGTTTTTAGAAGGTGAGTATGCTGAAAAAACTGTATGCGGTCAGAGGAAAAAAGTTCGCGTTTTCATAGAGCCATGATCTGGCTATGTCAAAATATTCACCAGAACCTCCATCCGGGGACTGATTTGAACTATCGGTAACACTACAGTTACTTTTGCTGGTCGCGGGCAGAGTCGTTATAGACGGCTATTTTCTGGAATGCTTCGGAGAATCGTTCGGAACGAAGGAAATTACTGAAGGCAGGTCATCAAACCATCTTTGAACAACTTCGGAAACGTCCGGGTAACTGCACCTTGCCAAGCTATGCTGCGAATCACGGCGTTGTCATACTAAAATTGAACTTGGAGCAAGCTCTGCAAGTTATTCAGTCGTAAGATCTTCGGCTACTTGTCAATAGTTCCTGGACAGTGCCTGTTTCCTTTGAAAGCTCCACCAAAGGAGAATTCCGGTTCTCGGCTACGAGTTAAACTGTCGTTTCTTTCCGCGCATGAAGCTGACCCTCAATAATCTCAACTGCGTCATCTCTTCCCATCTGCTGAAGAATGTCCGCCATTTTTTCGAGAGGATATTGATGTTTCAAACTGTCTCTCGTTTCCCAGAGATTAAAGAGGATTTCTGTTGGAGAAAAAGCGTTCCTACTCTCAATCCATCGAATGTCTGTATAACTCAGCCCGATTTTTTCCGCCAGAACTTTCCAATCGTATTCGTGTGGAGGATCAAGAATTACAGAAAGCTTACTGCGTAGCTCGCGACTCAGTGAGTGTGCAGTCGGTAGTGACTCGAAACCAACAGAGAAGTAACCAGAAGACATTTGTTTCAAGGAGACTGGGGACGCAGCAGCGTTCCCGCCACATGTTCCAGGCACGTCCGCTTGCGAACGTTGCCAAAGTTTAGTCAGTGAACCAGCATTGACTAGCGCAGTGGAATGGTCCACTAAGCATGGTGAACTTGCAGCCTTAGGCATGTTTGTCGAGTGTTCACACGCACAAGTCAGGTTAGCGGTAGAATGGTTCGTTCCTTCCCCAACTGGGCCTGGGTTTTCCTGAAACAAATAGATAACAAATGTTTAAAGTTAAGAACAACTTATGCCCACAGTATATAATCGATCTTTTTAAAAGACAACAAAGTAACTTTAATTTGAGAAATGCAGACTTTGTGATCCCACGATTCAAGACAGTGACTTATGGAAAACTATCAGTGTCGTATTTGGGTCCAATACTATGGGCTGGACTTCCCAATCATGTAAAATCATTAAGTTTAGAGAATTTTAAAATTACATTAGGGAAAGGGATTTAAACACTTTAATTGATGCGAGCAGCGGATGCAATTGTCATATGTGTTCACCTTGACTAGTACTATTTTCATCGTTCTTAGTTAACTTAGTGAACATCTGCAGCAAAGCGAACACCTGCAGCAAAGCTTCCAAGGGTCTCTACAACATCAGGCAACTTAGGAAGTTCATTTCAACTGAGGCTGCTAAAATTTTAGTTCACGCCTTTGTGACGTCGCATCTAGATTACTGTAAATCACTGCTCTCTGGAGTGCCCCAATATCAACTGAACCACCTACAAAAAATTCTTAATGCCGCAGCAAGACTTGTATGCCTAGTGCCCAAACTTGATCATCTCACCCCCTACTTAATTGACCTTCACTGGCTACCTGTTGAGTTCCGGATAAAGTTTAAGGTTTTAATATTTGTGTTCAAGGCGTTAAACGGTGTGGCTCCTCGTTATAACTCAGATCTTATAAGCAAAAAGTCATCTCCTCGAAGCGCTCTGCGATCTAACGATCTCATGTTGTTAGTTATGCCTCGAACGAAATGTAAGACATTGGGTGATCGGGCATTTGCCTAGCTGGGCCATCAATGTGGAGCAAGCTTCCAAAGCCCATTCAGAAGGTGCCAAACATTTACTCATTTCAAAAAACAGCTAAAAACATATTTGTTCAGAGAAGCCCATAACATTCAGTGATAAATTTTATTACTTTCATCTATTTTCTTATTTGTAATGCTACTTTTTATGTTTTAAATTTTTATAAATATGTATATTTTATATTTTTTAAAATGTAAAGCGCTTATGAATATTTTATATAATTAGCGCTATATAAATTTGATTATTATTATTATTAACTTAATTTGTAACTTTATTCTCTTTTGTATTTTTATATTGATAGATAGGCTTTTATCTTGTAAATAGTTATAATGTTTAAAAATTTAATTTGTACATAGTCCTAAGGATTGTAACTCTTTTAAGGTGTCCCCAATTGGCCGCAATGCTAAATCTCATTGACACGTAAATGAAGCTATTATTATTATTTTCAATAGAAGCCATCGTTCAGCCCATCAATCAGTAAATGATGTTTTAATCTTCTCTCGTGCGAATTAATTCCTTGTGAACGACGACAATACTCAGAAAACAAAGCAACTGCGATTCTTCATTGCTATTGTCGCTCGTTTGGTCACCTTGGTTTTCTTCTTTCCAATACATAAGGGTTATTGCCCAAGCGCGAGGTCCGTCTCTGTCCATAAACACGCAAAAAAGAGAAACCTGCCCAATATCCAGCCATCTTGACCGAACAAGCCTGGTCAATGAAGGATGTATTATATGGGATGAAGAAAAATTTCTTTTGCGGGACACAGCGCGTAACCCCGAGCGGACAAAATAGCGCTATCTTTCCCGTACGGGTAGCCAATCACAGCGCAGGATCTGGTCCATCTTGCCCGCTCACCAAGCTAGCCATATAATAAAAAGTGTTATTCAATGAGAAACTTACGCTGGGTCTTTGTTTGACTGACGTTACCACGTTGACATCTCGTTCCTCGCCATCTTCACAATCCTGCCTCGCTTTAAATTTTGCACGAAAGTGCGACACACTTGTGTCCGACAAGGAGAATACGAATGTGCAGTTGGGCATGCGCTGAATACCTTCCCAAATGTCTCGGAAAGGAATTTTCTGAGAAACAACAGATTTAAAACACACAGTGAGTATAATCTAGACATACACAAAAAAACTAAAAAGAAAAAATCAATAAATTAATTAATAACTTAGACATACAGAGGATGAAAAACGCAAAGGAAAGCGTCGAGATGAAAGGGGCTGGGATAAGGGAATGGCCGCAATATTTCCAGTTAACACTTAACAACAGAATTTTGATACGGGATGTTGAGTAGAAAAATCATTAACTTTTGCAATTGGAATTGACGGGATACGGGATATCCGATCTAGGCCTAAAATGAACGGCATGTGNCCCCCCGCCCTCCGCCCCGCCATGGTCCGAGCTTGAGAGTTGTTGTAATCTTGAGCGTGAATCTTTAATCTCACACTGCCTCTCCCCACTCAGGTCATTATTATGCTGCTTACCACTGGGTGAGTGGCGCAGTTTGGCCCGACGTTACTTTGTACTCTGACATAAGTTGAGTCTAAACTGACTGGGCAGGTTTTTAGGGACAGAAAACTGACATTTTGTGACATAAAGTCCAAGCATAAGGTTGCTCCAGCCCAAGAGCGCACTTATAATGTAAGGATGGATGTGATTCTTAGAAAGGTATTTAATTTGAGTTAGCGCTTACATTAACGTTGTCTTCGCTCGTCCAGCCTGGACGAACAGATTTAAGTTCCACAATCAGATCTCCTCCCCCATCCTTAAAGCGAAGTTGTTTAGGTGCCTCGATCGTTTCTCCTCTGTACTTCTTTATTTCTTGATTGTGTACATCCTGAAAAGCGACAGAAATGTCCGTTATTAATATAATGATTACAGACAGGGCTTCAGAAGAATTTAAATTCACGTTTGCCCTTTGGAAAAGCATCTCTCAAATTTTTGATTTTATTTTTGGTGGTTTAGTTGACAGACGACTTGCCTAGGCCCTTGCCCGTCGGGCAAGTGACAATAGGCACCTTAAGATACCAGGACGGGACGAGCTAAGACGGCTACCGGAAGTAAATTCACTCAACCGGGCATGCGCACGAGAACTCTCGACTCATCTCTCTGCCGTCCTCATCTCGTCGAGGACGTCATTTCGCCCGACCAGCCGTCGTATCGAAAGCGTGAGTATTTTGCTCTTGTTTTGCCTCGATAACTGTTCCAATCGCCTTTATTTTCAGTTATATTGATAGGAATGTTTATAAGGTTCACAGTTTTCGTGATTGTAGTGTAGAACACTACGCTGAGATACGAAAATGTGAATTAAA